TGCTTGATAAATTGATTTGCCACACGTGGTTAAAACCAAAGGAACTCTGACATATTTTTGCTCAAATGTTGTAAATTCATAACATCATGTTAAGCTCCCAAGCAGTTTACTTTTCCAGAAAAAAAACAAACATATTTTAATTTAGTAAGTCTATTTCATTTTGAATCGATGTCTTGATGGTTAGAATCCATTGTCTTCATTTCTGAAGATATTGATGCAGCCAGAACATGCTTCCATGAGTAATCAGCAAGAGACTGTACTCAATATTACAGACAATTATATCTAGAAAGTACAACACAAAATCAGTTCTTTCAGTGCAACAAGATTATTCCCCTTGAAACTCTTCTCATCTAAATCTACCATTACAACCATATATCCCCTTTTTCAAATGTCACCATCTTCTCTGAATTTATTCATTAGTCTGTTGTGAAGACCTTATCAAATTTCTTTTGAAAATCCAGATAAGCTAAATCTATTTATTACCATTGTCCATTTTCTGTAATTAACTCCTCAAAAAGTAAGAAGATTTATCAAGCAAGATTTTCCCTTTTCAAATCCAAAATATTTATTATCCTATTCCATTATTTCTTCTGTCATTGATGTTAAACTGATTGCTCAATAATTGTCTGGCCTTGTTCTGTAATCTTTATTGAATATGAGAACTATATTCGCTACCCACCAATCCTTTGACACTACTGCCTTTTCTAATGAGTCATAATGCATTTGCTATCCCTTCCACAGATTCTTCTAAAATATGTAAATGCTTTCCAGCCAGAACAGGGACTTTGTCCTTTTTGAGTTTTGTTTACTTTATTTAATACATCTTTAATATTTTAATACCAATACTTTATTTTATGTGCGCTCATTTCATTCAGTATTAAGTTGAAATTCCATCTCAACATCAAACATCAAAGCAAAATAATTACTTAATGTGTCTCTAACACGATCTGTCATATTTTTCTGTCTATTCCTTAAATTCCTTTCCCTTCGTGGCCATAAAAAAATCTATTTTGTTTTTCCTACGTTCCTTTTCAATTTAATTTCATTGTTCCTCTTAGCCTTTCTAACTGTTCATTGACCTCTCTTCCTATTTCTTTGCATTTTCTCTTACACTATACTTTTACGTTGTCTATGTACTTAATGTTTGCCTCTTTCCTAATCCGCATGTTGTATTAGACACTGAACATCAACAAGCTGTTCCAATGCTGCAAGTTACATAGCAATTCCTATACTCACATGATAAAAACAAATACACTTGCAGTACAAGACAATTAATGGCAATATCTGATTGTTCTTTTCCTTACACATGGGAGCAGAGTCTACGTCTCATTCTCACATTGCTGCCCCAATGAAGGATAGCTGTTTCTACACAAATCTGGGATTAAACTTGAGATAATGCTTAGGGCTATATAGTATACATAAACTGATTTGAGTTATAGCCCTCTCAAATAATAAACCTTTATCATTAACACCCCGTGGTTACTGAATTTTTATCAAAATCAAAACACTGATAGAATTATATAATTGTAGAGAACATTGGGTCAAAATGTCATTTGGCTGACTAAACAAATATTTTAATTCCTTCACAAAATTCAATTAATTTTGCTTCAAAATGGTCATGATGAATTTTACCTTTGTCAGCTTTGTTACACCTCATTGGGATAGCGCAATGGAAATAAAGCCCCACTATTCCTGGAGCCATCACAATAGTTAAAGATGTTTAAAGTCCACAGAATTCCCCAACTTATCTTACTTTGAGGCCCAAGCTGACTGAAAGCACAGATCAAGATCTGTACTTAAGAAATATTATTTACTACAAGTAAATATATTTCTGTTGCAGTAATAATTCTGAACTATCGGCATGCAACTCTGCTATTTAAAATGCTAAATCCCTTATGAAACTCCCCCTACTTTCATTCACAGATTCAGACCAAACAGAGTGTAAAAAAAGTATGAGTGTTAGGTGCTGGGGAAGCACCTGGGAAGGCAGTTCAGTCATTCCTTTCCTCTGGATTGCTAAGATGGTTCTTGTGCTGATGAGCACACTGCTTCTCAGGTTTCCTTCTCTGGATGTTTTCACTGGTTTACAAAGGCACAAGGTGTTTGGTTCACTTTTATAGAAAGTCCTTGACTATTGATTCACCTTACAACTGCTGAAGTAAAAACAAATTGGCTTTATTCAGAATTAAAGCGGCCAGACAGAGAACAGAGACAACTCTTGGGCTGGTGGAGATCGAATGGCTTTTCTGTATCCTGTTCACAGATCCAAGCTGTTCAGCTCCTTGAGAACCAGTCACATAGTTGTTGACAGGCAGAAGGCCTTTGCATCTATAACTGGTCACCAGTCAGTTCTTGTTGCTAGCTAAAGGTCCATTTGTAAATACCCCTTGGCTCCAGCTCATCTGTCCTATCTCCTACTACTTCATGAACAAGTAGCTGTGTAAACAGTGCTATCAAGTTGTATTAGTTACTTAGTTTTTAAAAAATGTTTTGATCCTTAGTTTTTAGAAAAGTTGTTTTCTCAGTTCGGTTCACAATTTAAAGTGCAGAAAAAAATAAAAAAAACGGCTTAAGTAGTTATTCCAAATTGTTGAGTGTCTTCATTACCATCACCTATATTCTCCAATCATACACCACTGAATCTACATAGAAGCATTTCTATTGTGTTAGTGACATTTTAATATCAGTGTGGCAATAACAAATTATAATCTAACTTTAAACTACATCTGGTATGCAAAATGTTAATCTTCTGTATTCTCAAGCTTTCCGTGTGAAACAAATGATTTTATATTTCTTGCTTGGCCAGGGTGTTCAATTTTACTGCCATCTTTAGTATTTTGAGTATTTGCACATCCCCTCATCCTTAAATTTAATTGTTGCAATTCCAGGTGTATTTTTCTCTTTATTCTTATTTTTGAAAGTACCACTTTATAGTTTTCTACATTTAACTGCATCTGACATTTAGCAGCCCTTCCAAATATTTTTTTTCACCCGCTTGGTTTTGAAACTCGTACCTCAATTTCCAAGTTTAATCATACCTTCAATAAATAACACCTGTGATGATACTGTGGCTTTAAGAGGTGCATTTTGTCCTGGTTATTTTGTGAAGAGATGTTTTAAGGCATAGGTGATGAGGAGTCTTCCACAGCCATGAGAGTAAACGGCTTGTGAAGCCTTGGGTTTTATATGAAAATTGGAACAATAGAAGCAATCTGAATAGGTGTGATCAAGCTTCAACACAACCAGGATATTTAGTTTTAACTTTCAGCAGTTGCTGTTGGGGTCTTGAAGAAGTGAAAGCTATTTTTTTCCCTTTTTCTGTTGAAGGGTACTCTTCCTGCTGCGGGAATTACACGTGACATAATCTGTTTCTTAAATTTTCCTTTTGCCAAAGGTATGTTTATGGGATGTTACTGTATTAGAACAGTTAATTAGTAATAGTTATTGTACTTATTATTTCTCTATTAAGTTTTCTAACAGTGTTAAATTAATCAAATTCTTTCTTTCTTATGTTGTATTTTGATTACAAAGGATGAATAAAATGTGTTTTGCTTTAAATTCAGTAGTTTGAGCAATCAAATTGCATCTGGAATGCGACATCTTACATTTACCTTTAAAATAAGAAAAGTTAGGGTCTAAAACTATCTTCAGAATATTTTGAGGGCCTTGGTCTGGTCTGTAACAACTCCTAATACTGACTTGTACATAATGTCCTACCATGTCATTTCCAACCATATCTCTACATGGAGTTAAATTGTTTAGGCATTGACTATTATTATAGAAATTAATTATGCCAGGCAACTTCTATTTGTATTTTTGTAAAAGTTTGTTGATGGAGGCATTTTGCAAATCCCATGAGGAGTCTTTCAAAAACGTCCTAGTGGTCAGGCAGGACTACTTAGCCAACAACCCTCTCCATTTAGTAATCATACACACAACCCATAAGGGGCCTTATATTATGTTAGATTTATTAGTATCTAGGCGAATACATCATGAGATAATTAGGTAAATCAGGTAAGATCATTTCAAATATGTTGCATACCAGAACGCTACAGGAGGAAACCAGAACACCTAGAGGAAACCCACGCAGACATGGGGAGAACATGCAAACTCCACACGGACAGTCACCCGAGGGTGGAATAGAAGCCAGGTCCCTGGTGCTGTGAGGCATCAATACTAACCACTGAATCACTGTGCTGCACTAAGGGGCAACTTTTTCATCCAGAAGCTGGTGTATGTATGGAATAAACTGCCAGAGGAAGTAGAGGAGGCTGGTACAATTTCAACATTTGAACGGTATCTGGATGGGTACATGAATAGGAAGGGTTTAAGAGGGATATGGGCCAAATTCTGGCAAATGGGACTAGAATAATTTAGAATATCTGGTCGACATGGACAAGTTGGACTGAAGGGTCTATTTCTGTGCTGTACATTTCTATGACTATGACTATGTTGCTTGCTCACAACTTTCCTATCACAATAGTAGCATGCAGTTCTTCCATTTGTTAAACTCCCTTTGTACAGTTAGTACTGAGCCTACCCCTATTTAGAAGAAGCTTGATTTAAGATATTAATATTGGTGTTAACAGCATAGATGTCATACACATTGCTTCTTGTTGATATAATTGAAGAGATCATGTAATATGTTGGACATTCTGTGTACTGAACAATTGCTCCCATTTACACTGCAAACTGTACCAGTAAAACCGTAAGCAATTGCAGAATTCATTTCCTGCTTCTGGATGTTACGCAATGTTTTATTGCCTTTTATGATGTAATCAGAATGCGTAGCTCTCTTGACTCTTGGATTGTACATTGCACAGAACTGCAGAGTGATAAACAAAAAAGCTCACAAAAAAAAGTGAATCACTATTTCATATAACCACGCTGGTGACACATATGCTGAGTTTTCATTGCCAGCGGAACATTAACTAAAGCCAACTGCTCTGAATAAAAAGAAGAAAAACCCATGGCGATATCTTCCACAGGCAATAGCTTACCTAATTTATGTAAGAAGGTTCAAGTACCGACATTGATCGTTTTCCCACTGCTCATGTCTAATCATTGACATTGTTTCACTCTTCTTCAGGGCCTTTCCAATGTTTATTAATGCAAATTGTTGTTGGATTCTAGTCACACTGGGCTCCGCTGTGTAGCATGAAAACCCAATCGTTATAACCAACACAGAAGCATTGGTTCAAATATACTGTACAGAAACTGACTCATTTAACCTACAAACGCAGGATAAATGTTTTCACTTTTTGACAAATGCGATCATTGTCTACATGAATATAATACACTGTTTATTTGCGAAATATAAGGGCACTTATGTTGGGCAGTGCAGCTGACAGAGGGAGCCCAATTTTTCTATCATATTCCATTAATATAGAATCCTTTATGGTATTGCCATTGAAGTCATTGTCACAGACAGTAGAACAACTTTGATACAGTCCAATTCTGCCACTGAAGCCAGGGTTGACAACAAAGTGTGCATTATAATTGGTGAGGAGAACTGTAGAACAGTGCAATCCTTAGCTTTGTTAGGATTACAGTCCTCGGTAGGTAAAATCTGGAAGGCCTTTTAAATTGTAACATTTCAGAGCCATAATTGTTTCTGTTTCCAATAGATTTTAATGTTGCCCTTTCATAAACAAATTAACTGGAAAATATATAATTACAAGTTTCATAGACTTTGTCAGCAAAGTCAAGCTGATTAAAATCCCTCAAAATAAAAAGAGTGACATCATTAACTTATCTGAATAGTGTTACATTATTTGCATTTGACTATTGAAAGGTGCAAATGGAATTCACATTGCACGTTGGAATAAGAGTTGTAGTAATCCTGCACCAACAAAATTCAGCAGAATAAATTAATGTTTTAGCAGCAGGGTTAACTTCAAAAGGAAACAGACTTTGTCAAATTACCCCATGAGACAATAAAATGTAACATTTACAAATCTCACACCAGTACTCACCGTGAATGCCTTGATATCCGTATCTGAGATGCTGACAACAGTTCAAACAAAATGCTTTATCTCTGTCTGAAAAACCAACAGCCAGAATGCTTATGGATCTCATTCACTCCATTTGCTGCTGAGAGCTGCTGTTGCAAAACGAATGTGGCTGAGCATTCAAGTGGGAGATAGTGAAGGATAGAGCAAGCTGGGGGGGGGAGGGAAAGTATCACCAAAAAACTGCTCCTTCCATTTGCATTAATCACTAATGTTTACACAGGCTGTGAATGTGACCAGCTTCCCTTCCATCTGTGGGAGTTAGAGAAGTCCAGAAAAGGGTACTAGTTGCCAAAAAGCATTCTCTGGATAGATAGAGAGTAGTAGACCACGGAAAAAAAAGAGTTTGTATGTGTGAGGGAAGAACTCACAAGCTGTATATAGATACATGATCCAACGACAGCAAAGTAGACTACAGAAAGCTCAGACTAAAAATTACACAAATCCATTATCTGCTATAAATCAGAGAGCCCATAGGACAAATCAACAAGCCTCTTATTTTTTCTAACCAGAGCTTTCACATACAGCTCAATAATGGTTTCAGCAGTTGTCAGTTAAAAATGTTTCTTTGTGAATGCATTAGTCATTCACTGGCTATAATAGAGATGGTGAAAATGATTCTACTCTGCATAGGTTTTTTTTATTCTTTGATGAATGCTTAATATCTTGCATTACTGCAGAATATCAGAGACAGCCTCACTACTCAAGAATCATTGACTGCAAAAAACAGCCAAACTCGATGGTGCATTTTAATTGAAATTTTCAGCATTTTAAAAAGGGAGATTTGAATTAAATAAAATACTACGCCAAAAGTCCCAGGTATAAAGCCCAGCTAGTAATATATTGATTCATCTCAGCCAGGGCATCAAATGAGTGTGTTCAGCATCTCTGCTGTATGTGGTAATAAATCAGTTAAGGTTCCTGCTCCTGATTATTGTCCAGTGACTGCTGTTAGAAACTGTGCTTAAGTGCATGTTGGATGAAAACAGAATTGGGCTTTGTTATTATTCCTCATGTCTTAGCTGAACAGTCTCCTTTGGGTACAAAAATAAAGAATGCCCTCTAGATGTAGAAGTGGACCATAACTCACTCCCAAGAAAATGACTCACTCCAGGAAGAATGATTGTTTTTAAGAAGATAGAGGAGTTAATTAGAAGTGAAACTGAGCTGAAGATTCATGGTATTCACCTACCTGCTATTGGATGGTCAGGGATTCAATTTCTTTTGACTGTCTTGTCAGTTTTTCTGGCACTGTTTGATTGCTGTAACTCCCAATCAGTTCCATCCTCCCAATTTATCCTGTCCTCCTAAAACATCCCACTTCATTCCAACTGTCTCATTTTCTCCTAATGTTTCAGACCTTCCAGCTCATGTGATTATTGTAGTTTGACTGATATCCAAATAGTTCTAAACTGCCCACTGTTCAACTGTGCTAGATTTTTACTTCTTGTTTTATTTTTTATTGATTTTCTTTGTGTGTCATGGTTGTAATTCTACCAAAGAATGTGCTTTCAGAACACATCAGTCTGACTCATTGGATCTTTAAATAAATTAAAAATATTATTTCAATGTGACAGAGGAGTATACATGCCTTACATATAAGATGATATGCAAACATGTTAAAAAAACAGAACAGGCAACATTGTTGTTTCTTTCAGATACAAAGAATCATTAGTACAAAAGCCTCATACTTTCAGAGGCTCCCCAGTCGTTCAATGATTTAACAGGTACTGACCCATCCAAACCAGGAAGCATCAAATGCGAATTTAACAAGTACTAGCTAGCAGTGAAGTTAGGTGTCTTGCTCCTGAGTTAGATTCTGTAATGTCTGGTGGCATGGACCCTATTTTTGACCCATTTCAGGATTCATTGCAACGACCTCAAACCTAAACAGACTGCAATGCCCATTGTGTTATTTTAAACATAAATGAAACAGGTAGCTTGGGTAAGGTAGTGGAGGGTGACTAGTGCCAGCAAACTTACAAGTCTTTGTAAGACAAAAGGCAAGAAAATCGTCACTGATAAAGTTATCAGAAAAACAACTAGTGCAGTTGCAGGTGTTCTGCTCATTAAGGAGGCAAAGCAACTGAGGTGTGTAACATGAACTTCTTGTGATTTGATTAAATGAATACTCTACCAAAGATCAGGAAGCATTCATCAAGTAACAATAGTCTGTTAGGCAGACCAACAAGCTCAAGTTACAAACTTTGCTCAGTAACCAAAGAGCTAGGAAACCTCAAGACTCCAATATTGTGACCCAGTTTCATATGTTGTTAAGTACAGTTCTATTTTACTTAGTTTAGGAAATGTTGGTTCCAAACAAGTTAGAATTCTTTCCTAGTAGGTTAATATGACTTGAGTGGAAAAATCATTGAAACTCCGAATGGACTTATAACAAGATTCCAAATTACCTTCTGTCAAAGATGTGACAGTTGATTAGGATAATACCTAACAAATTTGCAGTGTTAATTAGAGGCATATCTGAGTGTCATCATTGTAGATATGAAATCTTATAGATTAAGGAAATGAAAATCAGACAGCCTCTGCAATCAGTGGTCAACGTGGTTCATCATTTTACTATCCAACTGGCGAAGGTGAGAATTATCCTCACTGTTTCAGGATGCCAGTTGTGTGTTCCACTATTGACCTTTTGGAGCATGTTGTATTCCTTCTGATTTTTTATTCTTGGGTACAGTGGTAGTGTCATCATTTGAGCATGTAGGCCATTCTTTTGCGGTCTGAACCTAACCCTCATCAAAAGCCATTCCCTGTGACTTTTCTGTCTTTCAAATGGGATTGACAAGACTAACAAATCATAAAGATTGCCAGGGTAATCCACATTATTGTTTCTGTGTTATAACTAACTTTCTACCTATGAAAGAAGAGATCATTGTCTCCACAGTTGATCCAACAGTTGGACTTGACACTACTACAATCAGATCATAAGCAAATATCCCAATTCATTACAGTTCCATACAGGATACCCCAAGTCATTAAAACCCCAGGTGAGGAGTGATAAATTTCTTGTTTATTCAACTGCCCCCTCAGTTGGTCGCAACAAGGTTAATTTATTTAAAAAGACTCTTTCTTTTGTGGATACTTTTCTCCCGGATCAAATTTATGTTTCAAAAAGAGTCAATTTAACCCGGATTTTCTGAATTAACAAAAGTTTATTTGTTACTAAAGTCAAGTAGCAATAATAACACAACACACATACATATAGACTAAGATTAAGAATTGAGTCCAAAAAAGTTTTAAAAATTTTACAGTTCAGTCTCAGAGTTGGTTTGTGAAGAGGAGCTGGTGGAATGTGATGGCTGTTACAATGAACGATACCAACAGTGTTGATATCGGTAGCTGAAGAGTCAATTAAGATATTTGGCTTGCAAGTTAATTGGAATTTCTTTTTTGGTCCTTTCAACAGTAGTTAACTTGCAGCACACAGAACCAAAGCTTTTTTCCTTTATTGCCTGTGTCACAGGGGTGCTTAATGGCTGTTCTCAGAGCTGTTATCTTCACAATACTATTCCATGCATTAAGAGATTGTCTGTTAATTCACATAGAACATGGTTGAAGCTCACTTTTTACCCTTGTTCTTGAGTATTTTTGAAAGTGGAAAATGTAAATATCCCTCTTACAAGCTGCTGTCTTTTTTTATTACCTTGTTCACAGTCTGAGATACTCAAAGAGGATTAGAGTAGAGTTTTGTAGTGGACTTGTCCCTTTGAATATTCTTTGACATCTGCAGATGTGACATTTTAAAATTCCTCTCCAGACAGCCACTGGATTTACATCTGCAGAGATTTTAGTTGTATCAGTCCTCTTATTAAAAATATTGCTGATCCAAGGTTATGATCCATGGTCATGACAGTGCATAAATATCCATCTATGTGCAGTCAGTTACATGCTTGTAAGAATTCTGTCACATCACAGAAGAACAAGGCTCTTTCTTACACTTTGCTGCTTTGTATTGGGAATGTGATGAGATGTTTAACTCATAAAACAAGATATATTACCTGCTGAATAACTATGGACTGAATGTTGGGATATGACAGATGTCCCCTGTGCCTGGAAGAAGACTTCCACATAAAAGTTTAAAGCATCTGGAATCTTGATAATGATTGATAGCTACCCTGTATTGGAATTTTTATCTCCAATTATGGATATACAAGTTCACTGCATCAATAATAAACTTCCTTTCAGAATCTTCATTGCTGCTGGCTGTTAACTTCTAACAGGTGTGCAGCTATGAGACCAGCTTAAAGATGCAATTTCAATCATCTGTCATGTTTGTTCTGATGCCTGAAAGAGGATCTAGAGAGATATCTATAGTTGAACATGAACAAGCTTTCTAACAACTGCAACATTTTGGTTAGGCAAATCAGGGCAGGACTTACACATTTAAAGGTAGGGCCCTGGAGAGTGTTGTCAAGCAAAGAGACCTTGGGGCGCAGGTTCATAGTTGCTCAAAAGTAGAGTCAAAGGTAGACAGGGTAGTAAAGATGGCATTTGGTATGCCTGCCTTATTGGTCAGGACATTGAGCATAGGAGTTGGAAGGTCACGTTGTGGCTGTACAGGATGTTTGTTAGCCGATTTCAGGAATATTGTGTATAATTCTGGTCTCCCTGCTATAGGAAAGATTTTGTTAAACTTGAAAGGGTTCAAAAAAGATTTACAAGAATGCTGCCAAGGTTAGAGGGTTTGAGCTTTTGGTGAGGCTGTGAACCTGTGTGGAATATCTCAGTCATCTGAGGTCAGTGTTGTAAGCTGGGCAATAGGATTCAACAACATAACTGGCTTCAATCATAATAGATTGCACACACATGCCTAGAGACTATCATGTTATATTGCAGCTAAATTCATTAATAGAAAAGAGTTCCATTACATCAATGTGCAAGTGACCTGTAATCATTGATTCCATTTCTTAGACATTTGTGCATGGTACCCTAGGAGCTCCTACAATGTCGATATCCTTGAGAACTCTCATGTTCCTGATATATGAGGATTGAGATAGTACACAAGGATGGTTACTGGGAAGCAAGGACTACCTTTTGCGATCATGGCCTGACTGAAGTGGAGCACAGGGAC